ATTGAATATTTGTGTCGACAAAGATTTGGTAAGGATAAATTATTATTTTTTTCCTGTATCCAAGTCTTGGTTTGAACAATGGGACCCACCAGTGGTGTTTCATATAAATGCCTGTATTCTAGAGATGTCAGATCTTGGAACTTTGACCCTGATTGATTTTAGGGAAAATTGAAACTTTGATTTGTGCTACACACGGTACCAAATCTTTAAAATATTCGCAACTACAGTACTCATTGACGGTTTTTGTCCGTTTGACCACGAAAATCGTTAGTTGACCCCAGAATTTAAAAAAAAAAAAAAAATTTCCAGCAAATACACAAAGGCAATTTCGGAATTACACTATTTCCCTTTTAAAATGAAAAAAGGCCAGTTACACTCCAATCCATCATCCATTATGGAACCTCTAAAAACGCACGAAGAAGAAGACAACCACCACGAAGAAGATGAAATTTAATCAAATTTTGGAGCCCATATTCGAGGCTCGCTCCCCCAACATGTATACAGTAAGCGTGCACCGTGAAATCCCCATTTGTGCTATGAAACAATGCAATTACAAGCCGTGTGTATATTTTGTCGTCCAGTACTAGAAAATGTGAAAATTTTGCACGAGTTGATAATTTGGAAGTTATCGTGCTGTGTAATCGATCGTTCTATATCTGTACATTGCTCGAATAAATAAGGGTTAGGGCTTGATTTTTTTTCGTTTTCATTTTTTCAGGGGAAAATACAAAATATTTTAACATATGCCTACATCATGGTGGAACATTGTTGGGAAAGATGACAAATTTCGTGTATAAGCATGGCAAAGTAAGTTACATAGACTATGTCGGCCCGGACTTCTTCAACAGATTTCTGCTTGACAATGCCATGAAGATGATGGGATATTCCGGTATAGTCAGATATCTGTACAAGATGGAAAAGATGAGGATTAGCGAGGCATCATTCTGGTTGGTGAAAGATTCAGATTTCATGAATGTGGTGAAGTGGTTTGGTGAAAAGAGGATTGTTGAAGTGTATTGTTTGCCTATGGTTGAAGTATTGGAGTTGCCATGGTATGGAAATATTTTTGTGGTTGATTGTGAGACTGGGGAGGAGTTGCTACATTTTGAAGAGTTTAGTGGGCATGAGGCACCAGTGGTCGAGGAGCAATTGTGGTATGGTGTTGAGGCTTATGATGATTCATCAGAAGGCGATGAGTCATACATTGTCGAAGAANAGGTTTATGATGATTCATTAGAAGGCGATGAGTCATACATTGTCGAAGAAGTAGATGATTTATAGCATGGTCAATCAAAATTAGAGGCTGGTGAAACTGATGTTCATGCTGATGAAACTCATGTACAGCATAGTGAATCAGATGTGAATGCTGGTGAACCTGGAGTGCAACATGATCAATCAGAGGTGCAGGCTGCACAAACTGAAATGGAACATGGTGAATCATTGGTGCAGTCTGGGGACAATGAAGTGCAGCAAGGTGAACCATATTGTAATGTGTAACCAGAAGAAACTGAGGTGCAACTGAGTGTACCAGAGCAACCAGAAGAAACTGAAGCACGTGTTGACACTGAAATCGATGAATATGAAGAGGGTTATTTGGAGGATTTCCATGACTCGGAGTATGAGCAGGAAGAAAATATACCCATAGATGATGATGATACAACCACAGGTTTTAAGTTGAGTGAAGGGTTTGAGATTGATATAAATAGTGAAAGGAGTGAACAGGATGGTGAGGCAGCTCCTGAAGAAGAAGTTGGAGCAGATTATGAAGACTCAGATGAGTTTAGGAGCTTATCCAGTGACAATAAGGGTGATGGATCATTTGCCAGGAGCATGAATGAGTGCTGCTTTAACCCTTTCGCTGATATGGATGATCCAAAGTTCAAGTTAGGGATGAAGTTTGACAATGTCAAGGTTCTAAGGGCTGCAATTGTTCAATACTCAGTTAAAAATTCCAAGCAACTCAACTATGTGAAAAATATGAAAACACGGCTGAGGGTTAGATGTCAGGAGAACTGCCCTTGGGTGCTATATGCATACCAACAACCAGATAAGAGTATCAGAATAAACACCTTCAGAGATGAGCACACATGCACCATGGTGTGGCAAAATAAAAGGGTGAATGCAGGTTATCTGGCAAAAAAATACATTAGAAAGTTTAGGTCTGACCCCAATATGCCGATGAGCAGTTTTGTGGAAACGGTGAAAGAAGATTGCATGTATGAAATTTCAAAGCATCAGTTCTAAAGGACAAGATCCGAATGTGCAAAAGTGGTGCATAAGATAGCAACTGACCAGTACAAAATTTTATGGGATTATGGAGAGGAGTTAAAGAGAACAAATCCTGGTAGTACAGTGCAGATTGAAGGGTCAGGTCCTAGCTTTAAGAGATTGTTTATTTGTTTAGGGGCTTGTAAATAGGGTTTTAAAGCTGGATGTAGACCAGTTGTTGGGTTGGATGGTTGTTTCATAAAGTCTACATAAGGTGGACAGTTGCTGACCGCTGTAGGAATTGATCCTGAGAATTGTATGTTCCCCATAGCATGGGCAGTTGTTGATAATGAGAACAAAACAAACAGGCAGTGGTTCATATAGTTGTTGGTTGATGACATATGGATGTATAACCCTAGAGCTTGGACATTCATTTCTGATAAACAAAAGGGTTTGGTGGATTGTATAAGTCAATTATGTGAAGGGGCTGAGCATATGTGTTG